AATTCAACATTCCGCAGCGGGCACGCCATTCAACATTGGGCAGATCCTGTTTTGAACTTTTGGTCACAACGTAGTCAGGCTCACATAAACCAAGTTTGGAGCAAATCTGATTAAATCTGTAGAACAAGTTCGTTAAATTACAACACATGTGAAATGTCAAACAAGTGACCAAGGAATTCAAAATGGCCGACTTCCTGTTGGGTTGTATGGCTTTTTTTTGTTTTACCAACTTTGAGGTGGATCTGGTCAATTCTGTAGGAGATGTACATTAAAATCTAAAACATGACATTTCCTGTTGCCAGTAGGGGGGCGCTATATTTAACGCTAATTATTGACATGTAGAGGTGTTCAGGGTGGGACTGTCATCAATCCTGTGAAGTTTGGGGAAGATTGGTCAATGTTAGCCGGAGTTATAAACTACTTCCTGTTTAGTGACGAGACCCCTAACTTTGACGCCACCCCACGGTCACATGGATTGACGAAAACTCAAGCTTCTAATAACTTTAAATCTTCAAGTTATTGGGGTGGAACAGACCAAGGTTTGAAGTTGATCGGATGAAATCTCTAGGACAAGTTTGTTCATTTAGGACCCCTGGAAATGGCCAAAAATGCACCAAAATTACACAGTAAATTCAAAATTGCTTATTTCCTGTTTAGAGCATGCCTCCTAGAGGCTTTTTTGTACTTCTCGGAGCGTTAAATAAGCCTGCCAAGTTTCATACATGTAGGTTAAACTAGCTTCAGGGGCTGTTTCCTCAAACTTTTGTAGGGGGCGCTACTGAGCCATTTTTTTGGAACCCGCGGACAAGACCCTTAAAATAATTTTAAAATTAAAAAAAAATTGTCACCAGCTCTGAGATGCGTGCAAAGTTTCATGAGTTGTCAGGTATGTTAAGCCAATTCATTTGGAAGAAGAAGGAAAAGAAGAAAAAATCCTTGCATTTCAATAGGGACCTCGGGCCCTAATAAACAGCACAATTATAATAGGGTCCTACGCAGATGACTTCGTCGTCGTTCGGGCCCTAATAAACAGCACCATTTCAACAGGGTCCTACGGACGACTTGCAGTCGTCGTTTGGACCCTAATTATAATAAACAGTCCGATTTCAATAGGGTCCTACGCGGACAACTTGCAGTCGTCGCTCAGCCCCTAATAATAATAATAATAATAATAATAATAATAATAATAATAAACAGCGCGATTTCAGTAGGGGGACTACGCGGATGACTTGCAGTCGTCGCTCAGGCCCTAATTAAACTTTTGATAGTCTATAAAGAATAATATATATATGTATATTTTCTGATTAATTTTTCAGTTCACTAGATACATTTTTGCTGCAATAAAAATCATCATTTCGTGGGGCCTCTCGTGATTCCCACCCCTACCCTTTTGGGCTTTTCAGTGTGGTCAAAGATCTTTAGAAATTGTGGATGTGCTTTTCAGAATGAGCTGGTTTACTGAAGACTGGTGACCTACCTCCCTAGGTTTACTGACGAACTTGGGGAGCTAGGTCTAACAAAGCTTGGCTAGACAATAAGCCCACCTTTAATTTGGCACTGCAATAAAATAGTATTGTTTAATGAGACATTGTTGTAAAATTTATGGAGCTGGTAGATGCAGGTTAAGAGTAGGAAAAGGTCTTGGCAGAGAAGGTAGAAAGGTTTCAGAGACTATGGTGGTGGAGACCTAACATCTTTTCCAGAGTTCATACATGAGCTTAACCAGGAAATTGGTGGGAAGACTGAACTGTTAATCATTGCTCCCAGGGTGTTTAATGTGCCAATACTATATTGTATGAGTCAGAATATCGATAGTCTCCAAGAAAGAAATATATATAGCCAGATATTTATCATTTTACAGGGTTAGCTATCAAAAAACCCTTCATAGTTGCCATCTTATGAAATTAATCCATAGGAAGGGAGAACACATTTACAACAGAGAACAGAATCACGTGATAACTTCAGACAAACCAGACAGACAACAGCCTCAGTGATGAAATAAAGATGGTTTGGGGTAAGAAAGGCAACATTCAGTGGTGCTGCAACCGCAAAAATGGTTTCCAACTTAAAAACGAATTCAGACAAAGCAACCAAGTTAGTCTATATATGGAGGCATGGAGTCTAGGGTCAATCAAAAATCATGCAAATAAATGATCAAAGGTCACCCTGAAGAGAATGATTTGAAGTGTGATGTACCAATGATTGCTTAGGAGAAAAAAATTAAATAAATGTTAGAATCTGTGGCAACAAAAATCTTTTTATGCCATCTACATTAAAATAGATTCAAATGCAGAATAGCATTATTATAGTTGGGAGGGGAAGACAAGGGACTGGAAGACTCCCTGAAGAATTGGGAGGGTACAACGGTTTTCAAATACAACTGCTTTTTATTTAACTTTTCCTTTTCAAGACACAAAAGGTGATGGTAAGAAAAGATTTTTTTTGCCTTTTATTTGCTTTGACAACCGAAATAGGCATGTTTTTATTGAAAGCCGCATGGTACATAGCAGCACCAGAATATATATGAAAACAATTATCACCCACCAAAACGTCATGCCACACGAGGCCAAAATACAACAATGTATTTCTGGATGGTTGGCGAATAGACGAGAATGATGTCTCAATAACAAAATTTAGAAAAGACAAAACAAAGCAGGAAATAGCATTGACTCCCAAAATAATTCAACAAAGTTCAAATAACAGGATGCTGCTGTCAACGTCAAAGTGATGTTAAGGTTAGAATGGCGTGAATTTCTGTGTAAACACATGATTGGATGACTGGGGCCCTGTCTTTGTCTTTCTTCACAAATTCCCATGAATTTCAGGCTACACATTGCAGCTTTAAACCCATTTAAATTGTAATCTTTCAATTGCTGCTTGAAAAAATTTGGGAATGACCTTCAAAAGGAAGGAACTACTGGTAGTCAGCAGAACAACACTAAAATCCTCACCAATCATAATACTGAATTTTACCTTGAGGCATAATGCACACTACTCGTTTGAATATGGTCACTGAAGTGTTTTTTGGAGTTCGCAAGTGGCAGAAATTCACCCCTGACAGCTGTGCCAATGGTCGTGCTAACTAACTGGGAAAGGCAGCAAACAGCTAACGTGGTTTATAATAGACTGAATCAGAATGTTTATTTACATGAACTTCTGGGTAGAAAACCCACACGTCACGATTACGGCTGAAAATGACAACAGAATTCAACAAGTTTGATGATTTTACATTTCTCCGCAACTGAAATCAACTGCCAGTTGTCTCCCTGGAAGTGATTGTTATAGAACTTAATGTCTATAAAGTACAACCAATAACTTGAATTAAGTGATGTGAACTTGGTAAACACAGAGGCTCCATGATCTGTACTTGCATGAACCATGACCAATTTTTTTTTATATTGTCTACATTGTCTGCAAGTTGAAAATTTTCAACTTCTGCGAATAGCACAACATTTCCATGTCCGCATCATTTGTCTTGCAAATTGGCATTTATTTATGTCCTTACATTGGCTTTGTATGTAGTCTCTCTTCATGTAAATTGTGAAGACGCCATTACACTACACATTTTTTAAAGTCCAATGTTTATGCTTGAAATAAAGCAAAAATATGTATTTTCTTGTGAAATGCAACTCACCCAAACTGAATTCATCTATCTTTTGATCTACAGAATAGCTTGCTGTCATTTTAGCTGCAAATATTCTAAACTTAAAGTCTGATTGCTTGGTGAATATGACCTTAATAGGAAAAAAAAATTCTGACATTGTATATATGCAAGTTACTCAAACGAAATTGTTTGCTGTTTTAATTGGAATTTGCATAATATTCGCCAGTGTTTTATATAATGTTAAACAGAGGAGTGGAGTGTGTGTGATTTACTGTAACAGAGAAGTTTTTTCAGGACCTGGACAGTTTGTCTTTATTCTAACAAGAACAAAATACTGGAGCTGACATGCAATTACACCCAGCAGCGGTACTTTAAAGGTATCCTGTCTGCTGTCTTGGTGGATATCATGACCTAAATTGGTTATGAGAGCATTCAAATAAGGATAGTATCTGAAAGGTTGTTGTATTGTTTCAAAATGCACTGCAGAAACAAAACATGTTTCAGAAAAGTATCCAACTGTCATGCACCGCAGACAGATGTGTGGCAGTTTGACTATTTAGTATGGAAGTGACAACACTGCTGTTTTCTGTATCCTACAAAAAATAATGTTGCAATAATATGGAAATTCCCAAATTCTTTCAAGCTTATTTTCTAAGTTATCACAAGCATTAAGCATTTAAGAATTAAAATGTTGAGATACAAAAAAGACAGAATAACAAGTACACCTAAAAGCAAGTATGACCCAAAAAAAAAAGAAAGAAAAACTTGTACACAGAAATTCAATGATATCTGTTCTCTATTACATGAACCACCATGAGCCAATATGGAAAAAACAAATGAAAAAACATCACTGCAGTCTAGACAACACTGAACACCTGCTGAGGACAAATTTAAAAACAAAGGCTGTCAAAATGTATTGTTTAAAAATCAGTGCAGCAGTAAATGGCAGGAGCAGTAGACTCAAACACAATGTGTAACATTTTGCAGCATCAGTGCAGAGAACATGGTTCACCAACATACAAATTTTCCTCTCCACAGACAAAATTTGTATGTATATTGGTGACTATGTTAACCACTTTGGAAGACCCCATGTGCAAGTGTCGCTCATAATATTAATGGCTTTATGGGTTACTGAATGAAACTAAATGAATTTGAATCTATCTGTATGACTGATGCACCTAGTAAACTATTTTCGATTTGAATTTGAACTTTGCATTTAATAATCCAGCTTTCATTGGACTTGGTAATGTGGAGTACAGCAATGCTTACTCTTACTACATTGATTGTTTAATAAAGTTACACTTTGTTTAACCATGGGGTTATGATGCTTTTAGATACTTTGATCTTCTAGTGCAGATGAGTGAAGGCACAAAAAAGCAAGCAAATGCAAACTAACCTAGCCCACCTGCATGGCTCGTTTCACACTCCTCCAGGTCTTCGTCATCACTCGAACACTCTGCAGATGACACAATGTCATCTGCCGTATGCTTCATGAGCAGAACGTTGGTCATCAGAGGTGACAGCCAGAGCAATGATACCCAGAACATAAAGAGCCACCAACAGACAACAGAGAAGACACAAAAAGACAAGGGAGAATAAACAAAACAAGTTAGGTAAGCATAAAAGTAAATTTTTGACCCTGGAAACATAAGTTTGACAAAAAGCATTAAACTTAATGTTGACTTGTTTGATTTTTTTCGGAGCTTTCATCGGCATCTCACAGCCTCCCTCCTTTTATGAGTTTGCTTAGTAGAGACTATCCAGTTGTTGTCACTTGACCTAAATATTGATCACATGTCAACAAGTGGTCATATATGGGTGGAGAAGATAACCTATCTCTGTTTACTGATGGTCTCTGATTCAAGATTCAAGATTCAAAATTCAAGATCCTTCAATTGTCATTCAGCAAAACATCAGTGATGCAAAGCAGAACGAAACTACAAGCATGGTACCATTAAAAACACAGATAAATAAAAAACAAAAACAGTATATAAAAAGAGAGCTTTATAAATAAGATATATATAAATACACATTTGATTTTGTTATATTGCACATACATAAATAAATGACATTGCACATTTGCATGGCAGCTGCCTGGCTGTGGATGAGAGAAAAAGACTAAAAACACAAAAGCACAGTCAGCGGTGAGTTATTTTGTTGAGCAGTCTGATAAGCAGCCGGGTAGACGTTGTTACTGAACCTGACAGTGCCGCTACTCAGGCTGCTGTACCTCCTGCCTGAAGGCAAGAGGGAGAACAGTTTGTTGCAGGGGTGAGTGAAGTCTCTCAGGATGCTGGTCGCTTTAGCCAGTAGGCGTTTTTGGGCCAGATCCTCTATCGGTGGCAATGTGACCCCAATAGTCCTTTCTGCTGTCCTTACTACTCTCCTCAGGGCCTTTCTGTCTGAGGTGTAAGAGTTCTCATGCCAGAGAGAGATGCTACTGGTCAAAACACTCTTAATGGTGCCCATGTAGAAGGTGGTGAGAATGGATGGATTGAGATGAGCCCTCTCCAGCCTCCACAGGAAATGTAGACGCTGGTGAGCCTTTTTCACCAGAGGTGTGCAGGGACCAGGACAGGTTATTGGCCCCATGAACCCCCAGGAACTTAGTGTTCTGAACAGTCTCCACAGCAGTTCAATTGATGAGGACTGGGGTATGTATGGGCCATTTCCTCCCGAAGTCAATCACCATCTCCTTGGTTTTTTCGACGTTCAGTACAAGGTTGTTGTTCCTGCACCAGTTTGCAAAGAGCTTCACCTCCTCTCTGTAAGTGTTCTCTCGGTTGTTCTGGATCAGGCCCACCACTGTTGTGTCATCTGCATACTGAATGATGTGATTCGTACTCCACTTTCCACAACAGTCGTGAGTCTTCAGGGTGAATAGTAAGGGACTCAGGAAACATCCCTGCAGAGATTTGGTGCTCAGTGAGATGGTGGAGCTGAGGCCTGTCTGAGAAAAAGTCCAAGATCCAGTTGCACAGTGGAGTGTTTAGCCCAAGTGGGTCCAGTTTGTTCACCAGATGCTGAGGGATTATGGTATTGAATGCTGAGCTAAAGTCAACAAACAAAATCCGTACATGCCTGTGGATATTCTCATTTATCCAGACCGTACACCACACACCAAGAAGAGCAACCTGGTGTACGCTGTCCAGTGCAGCGAGGAATGCCCAGACTTGTACATTGGTGAAACAAAACAACCACTAAACAAATGCATGGCCCAACACAGAAGGGCTAACTTGTCAGGGCGCGACTCAGCTGTCTATTTACACCTCAAGGAGAAAGTACACTCCCCTGAAGACAGCAATGTGCACATTTTGGACAGGGAAGACAGATGGTTTGAAAGAGGTCTAAAAGAAGCCATCTATATGAAATTGGAAAAACCATCTCTCAATAGAGGAGGTGTGTGACACCACCTATCCCCCACCTATAATGCTGTCCTTTCATCCTTGCCCAGGAGATTTAACAGCTTAACCTCTAAAAACAATGGTCATTCACAAATGGCCTCATGTGACTCTAACGACTCCAACGACCACCGTTGCACCGTTTCCACAACCGTGGTTGACACACCATTGGAGCACTAACCAATCAATGACATCATTGGCCTTGTGAAGACCTTCTCAGAGGTTAAATACCTGGGTTTTTCCACACCAGTTTGTCAGACTAGCTCCAGCCTAGTAAGACAAGCATGAACTGATGAAGCCTCTTGGATAAGAGATGAAACGTCTTCTAAGACAAAACTAAGTCCAGTTGCGTCTGATTCAGTTGCCTTAAGATAGCATCCATACATGTGTGTTCTTTTTCTCCAGGTGTTCCAGGCACAGATGAAGTGCAGTGGATACAGCATCCTCAGTGGAACAATTTGGGCGGAAGGCAAATTGAAGTGGGTCGAGTGAGGAGGGAAGGACAGATGTGATGTGATCCTTGTCTAGTCTTTCAAAACACTTGATTATTATGGGAGTGAGTGCTACCGGTCGTTAGTCATTTAGACTAGTAACAGTGAGTTTTTTTTTTGAACTAGGATGATGGCTGAGCATTTGAAGCATGATGGTACGGTGGCTTGACTCAGGGAGATGTTAAATATGTCTGTTAGGACATGACTGATCTGTGCACCACTTGAGCACACACCCTGGTATCATGTCAGGACCTGCAGCTTTTCCATGGGTTGATCTTCCTCAAGACAGGACATCAGCTGGGTCCAGATGTAGCACCTGGTCATCGTTGTGGCTTTCACTGCTGGTGTATTGTTAAGTGCTTCAAACCTGCCAAAATAATTATTTAGGTGGTTTAGGATGTCAGTGCTATTATCACAGTCCCAGAGGGCAGACCTGTAATCTGTAACAGATTGGATACCCTGCCACAGTCTCTTAGTGTCTCTATGGTCTTGAAAGTGACTCTGGATCTTTGTCCATGGGCTCTTTTTGCCATTCTGATGGCCTTATTCAGATTGGCTCTCTCAGACCTAAGGGCAGTTGTGTCGCCAGATTTAATAGCTGAATTTTTTGATTTCAGCTGGGCTCGAACCTCAGTGGTCATCCATGGTTTCTGATATGCCCAGGCTGTGATGGTTTTTGTGATGCTGACATCCTTACATTTTTGATTGTAGCCTGAGACAACCTCAGCATACTCACCGACATCTGTGATCTTATCTTTGGTGGCAGCCTCTCTGAAGACAGAGCAGTCAGTCCAGTCAAAACAGTCCTGTAGTGCTGACATGGCTCCCTCTGGCCAGACCCTCACCTGTTTCGAAGGGGGCTTTGTTCTCATCAGCAGTGGTCTATATGCTGGTGTAAGCATCACAGCAATGTGGTCAGATGAGCCAAGGTGGGGACAACGTACTGCTTTGAACGCTCCTTTAATGTTGGTATAAGCATGATCCAGTAAGTTGGCTCCCCTTGTCGCAAAGTTCACGTTGGTAAAAGTGAGGGAGAACTTTCTTCATGTTTGCCTGGTTAAAGTCCCCAGCAACAATACAATAGACTATAATTCATTTGAAAGCCTTGTTCTTAGTCTTTTACATCCGACCTGGAAAACCTCGCAGCTGGCCCGTATTCTGAATTTGTATCTGAATTCTCAGAGTTTTTATCTAGTTTAGCTCTTAAGAATCTCGTTTAGTCTGGGCAGACAGTCTCAAAACGTATAAGAGGGGCCTGAGCAAACTATTACTCAGCTTTAATAAAAGAAAATAAGACCCCAGGTTTCTTTTCAGCACTGTAGCCAGGCTGACTGAGAGTCACAGCTCTATTGAACCTTGTATTCCTTAAGCCCTTAGCAGTAATGATTTTATGAGCTGTAAGACCTAAAAAATTCTAACTATTAGAGGCAAAATTCATGACCTCCTGTCCCCAGATAGTACCTATCTGTCCTCAAACACAGCTGTAAGACCTAATATATATTTAGATTGCTTCTCCCCAATTTCTCCTCAACAATTGACCACAATGATTTCTTCATCTAAATCATCAACGTATCCCAACTAGGCTACTTAAGGAAGTCTTACCTTTAGTTAACACTCATATATTAGATATGATCAATATATTCTTATTAACAGGCTATGTACCACAGTCTTTTAAGGTAGCTGTAATTAAACCTCTCCTAAAAAAGCCCACCCTGGATCCAGAGGTGTTAGCCAACTATAGACAAATATCTAATCTTCCCTTTCTTTCAAAGATCCTTGAGAAAGTAGTTGCAGACCAGCTGTGTGATTTTCTCCATGATAATAATTTATTTGAGGAATTTCAGTCAGGATTTAGAGTGCATCCTAGCAACAACACTAGTTAAAATTACAAATGACCTTCTGATTGCTTCAGACAAAGGACTCGTCTCTGAACTTGTTTTATTAGATCTTAGTGTGGCGTTTGATACAATTGACCATCAAATTCTGCTACAGAGACTGGAACATTTAATTGGCCTATACGATTCTGCACTAAGCTGGTTTAAATCTTATTTATCTGATCGTTTTCAGTTTGTTCATGTTCATGATGAGTCATCCTTACGTACTAAAGTTTTTTTGGAGTTCCGTAAGGTTCTGTGCTCGGACCAATCATATTTACTCTATATATGCTTCCTTTAGGTAACATCATTAGAAATCACTCTGTAAATTACGATTGTTATGAAGATGATACACAATTGTATTTATTGATGAAGCCAGAAGAAACTAATCAATTAATTAAACTTTATAACTGCCTTAAAGACATAAAAACCTGGATGAGCACCAATTTCCTCATGTTAAATTCAGACAAAACTGAAGTTATTGTTTTTGGCCCCAAACAACTCAGAGACTCTTTATCTGATGACATATTTTCTCTAGATGGCATTGCTCTGGCCTCTAGCACTACTGTAAGAAACCTCAGAGTAATATTTGATCAAGATTTGTCTTTTAATTCTCATTTAAAACAAACCTCACGGACTGCATTTTTTCATCTGTGTAATATTGCGAAAATTAAAAGATGCAGAAAAATTGGTCCACGCTTTTGTTACGTCTAGACTGGGT